ATTTAAAGAAGCAGATGCAAAGAACTCATCTATTTTACTTAGTTAAGTGGAAAATATTTTGCTGTTAAGTACACTTCAGTATTATTTATACTGCTATGCTCATTAAATTGGTAGCTAAATCTCACAGTGTAGTATGGGATATTTGCTAATACTGTTTTGCCCTTCTAAATGTTGAAGATGATTACCTCTATGTAGTTCTCAAGAAACAGTTTAATATTATATCAGTGTTCACAGCCACTTGGGATCTGCTTTGAGATGTAACACACATTCCTAACCTGCCCCCCCGACTTTTTCCTGATGAGCTTTGATAGCTAAAAGAATGCCTCAATCAACCAGTCAGTAAGATCTGGTTAATGTCAGCTGTAATTGCAAGAAGCAGAGTTTTTGTCAGTAACTTTGGGAAGTCTAACCTAATTTATACAAAATACTAGCCATATTATTAATTTATATAATGGCATAAGGGTTAAAGATTAAGGGTTAAAATTCTGATTCTGCCATTTAATAGCTGTGTCATCTTGAGCAAATTACTTATCTTTTCTAGGCCGTACTTTCCTTATTTGTAAACTAGAAGTACGAATTCCTGGATCTTAACGTTGTTACGAGAAGTAAAATTACTAACACACCGTAAGTGTTCTGAACGGTAGAACAGAGCCTGCTGTTCATGGGCCTGTATGTTTCAGCTGTTGCTATTGTTACTTCCATTTAGGTTGGTTTTTAGCTGTATTTTTCAGCTAATTTTCAGATTAATCTTTACATAAGAATTTGAACATTGCTATTAGCCTATGCAAAATATAAACAGTATCTAAATCTACCAGAGACACTTAAAAATAATTGTTACTTGGATTTGCATCCTATTTTATATCAAGACCTATGTAATGGCCGTGTTCAAGTAAGAAAGAAAGATCTATATTCTTTGAGTTAACTCCAATTGAAGGATAATTCCTGTTCATACCAGGAAAATTTTATGTGTAGACAAAAATATATTTCTTGGAAACATACTCATCACAATAATTTACAATAATGAGGAAAAATATCACATGCATAATGTGGAAAAAGCTCTAAGCATAACAGCTTGTCTCTAATATGCAAATTAGGCAAATGAAAATGACTTTGATATTTATCAGCATGGGTTTCACTTGTACAGGTAACCTTCAGCTTTAGATTGTGTGGGACAACCGATAGCGTTGTCCTCACAGTCTAAGAAAGGTAGGATTACCCTAATCATGCTGCAGCCAGAAGGGTCGAGAGGTAGCAGTTTAATGTAGTCGAGGTTCATTTACAAACCGGACACTAGTTTTCAAATAAATTCTGTTTATCAGTGCTGTTTACCCAGTGACATCCTTTAAAACGGGTATTCTATTCTGGGATAGTAAATGAATGAGTGCAGTTGAACTTACCTAAGTTTCCCAAGCCTATCAACTCAGTATCGCTGGATCTTAGCGTTCGGATGGCAGTGGGGTGGAAACACCTCTCACCTTGAGGTACCAGTTTCTCTTCTGAGCAGTCTGCAGAGGCCTCCTGGACAGCAGACAGACATCAGTGATGGTAACAATGGCCACCATTATGAGCAGGGTGATTGGGTTAGCTGGGTAGGACTGCTGAAACGAAGAACCACAAACTGAGTAGTGTAAACAAAAAATTATTGTCTGGCTGTTCGGGAGGCTAGACATCTGAGATCAAGGTGTTGGCAGGACCACCCTCCCTTTGAAGGCACCAGGGAAGGCTTTTTCCAGGCTCTTCTGGCTTCTTGCAGTTGCTTGCCTGTGGCAGTGTAACTCCACTCTTCACATGGCATTGTCCCAGCTCTGTCTCTACACAGCCATCTTCTTATAAGGACACCAGTCATGTAAGATTAGGGACCCACACTACTCTACTAACATTTACAACAGCCTGACTTCCAAATCAGGTCGTATTCCAAGGTACTGGGGTTAGGACTTCAGCGTATGATTTTGGGGTGAAGGCACAGTGCTGTCCATAATAGGTGACCAGTTATTTGCATTGTCCTAGTTGAGTCATTTGTGTAAGTGAAGGGGAGTGCTGTTAATCATTGTTCCATGGTAACTGGCCTAGAGACGGCCTTAAACAAGCCTGAATATATGGCCAGGGTACCTCGGAGATAGGTACAATTTATCCCATTTTTCCCAGGTTCAGTGAGGTTGCATAGCTTCCCAGAATTTGCAACTAGAAGAGGATGAGCAGTATTCAAACTCAGGACAATCAGATTCCAAAAGAGGAGGAAAAAGCTCAGGTCTGTGGTGGAAATTTCTATATTATGACACCAGGTAAATTAGGGAATGAATTTATTATGCCGCATTCTATAAAATTTCTTAGTATTCATGACCATATCTCTTGCTTTGCTTAATCAATTTTGGCTATCATGAAAGAGAATAACAACCTGGTATATTATGTTAGGCTTAATTAACATGTAACTTATCCGATGACTATAAGTCTTTGATTTTTTTTTTTTTTGCTGGCTCTTCTATTGATATCTGGAGAGCAATAGCACACATGAAGCTGTGTGATACAATGAGAATAGCTGTGAATAATAAATTATTTTAGGATTGCTAAAAAATTCTGAAACAACTTTTTGTAAGTATCAACCACTTTACTGTTTATCATACTTTAGCTGTAAGCTAGACTGATTTGATTTTAATAGATAAATAAGAAGGAACTATTTTAACATACTTCTTTATCAACAGTGTAAAACAAACTTATTTTGAAAGTCTAAAAACTTACTTTGCTTTTCATACTCTATGAAGAAGAGAATAAAAGGTGATCTGGGCTTCTGTGATGCAGGAGTCACCGCCACTGGCATTTGCATTTTGCTGTTTTCTCCCAGGCGTTTTACTTTGTGTGTGCATGGCTAAAGGTTAAATGGTTACGAACGTAAACGGTAGTTCCTGGTACGACGCTGCTGCTGCTGCTCTTAACTACTAGCACTGCTGCTATGAATGTTATTTGCGTTCTTGTCATCACCCTCAGGGAATAAAATTCTAGAAACATCAGAGAAGTGACGTTGATATGACTTAGATTAAATGTAGGGAGACATGAGTGAAAAAGGGGTATCTTGAATGGCCCTCTAAGTTTCTTATTTGGTAACGGGATGAATGTGGTGTAGCCAATCAGGACAGGACGTACAGGACACACAGGATCAAAGGATAAAGCTCATGAATGCCGAATTTGGGTTGTTCATGAGATACCCAAATGAAGGTACCTGGTAGACAGGTGGGTATCCCCGGACTGCTCAACAGAGAGATCTGGAATGAAGATAACACCATTCTATCAACTTAGAGTTAAAATAAGATTATATTTTCTTAGTTGTCCAAGTAAATTGGACTCTTAAGTCTTTATTTTTTTGTGTGTGAATGAAAAGTCACACCTTCCCAGGTTGACAGTACAATAAGGTCAAGAATTCCAGGTCGATGTACTTAATACAGAGGCTGATTTCTGTCTCAGGGAAGAAGTTGGCCAGTCTGACTAGTTCATTAAAGAGTTCAGTTCCTGTTTGTGCTGCCATTGTTATTTTTAGGTTTTTGTTTCTGTTTTTTTTCCATTTTGGATGGTTGTCACCATTTTACAGTGCCCAAAGGGAGAATTCCTCAGGGAGAGGCTGGGAAAGTGCCTCTGCGCTGGGGGCTGGGCTCTGGTTGCTTCCACGTGATGTTACTGGTGAAAACATAATTTTCAAAGAATAGAGCAAGGCCTCTTGTGTCTCGAGGCCACCGGACCCAGGAATGTAGGGGTCCATTTTGTGAAGCAACTGGGGAGAGGTCAGAGAGGCCGTGATGGAAAGTGACCATTGGATGGAGCCACAAGGAGCTCACTGTGGACCTGATGGGGAGTTCACTGGAATAATGAGCATGATACCTGACTGAAGGAGAGTGAGAACCAAATGGGACGTGAGAGAGGAGGGGATGAGCACACGACTTGTCAGAAGGCCTGTCTCCAGGGGCAGGGAAGACAGAAGTTTTACATCTACTGAAGGCTCATATATTTTGTGTTGATCTTTGATTGTAGCTGGAGTCTAGCATCCTGTCATGTAAGTACATTGTTCGGTGAAAGAATCCGTGAGTGGTTATGAGTTACTGTCCATTCTGAATAATTAGGCTTTGACCAGTGGACAGCTACACATTCCTCCTAGAGATTAAATTTTTGTCATATTTTTGTCATTCTACCATAGAATTTTTTTAAAAAAAATGTGACGTGTATGCATATGCTTGCTTATTTAAAAAAATGGTTTGTCTGTTTTCTAAATAATCACCTCTAGATATAACCTCTCCTTGGTTATAACAGAAAGTATGGATCAATTATTATTTAGTTTAACTACCAATGGTTCTGTTTAACATATACTAATTTTATGAATTTCTTTTAAAACTCATCACCTTATCCGAGAAAGACTGTGAAATCTTTCTTATTTTTTTTTTAAATTTGTATTGAAGTGTAGCTGATTTACAATGTTAGTTTCAAGGGTACAGAAAAGTGCTTCAGTTATACATACCGATACATACTTTTTTCTTTTCAGATTCTTTTCCATTATATGTTACTACATATTAATTTAACTCTTTTTTTTAAAAAGCAAAGTATCAGTGAAACAAAGATCCCTATAGTGTCCCGAGCAGTGACAGAGCAAATGGACTGTTATAAAATCTTATTAGCAAATTCTTAAAATTAGGAGATTTCATTTGGGCTCGAATATGAAAAGGAAAATGGAGCAAGCCTGCTGCTGACGGATGTTGTATGTTTCTGATCTGAAAGTGCTCCAGGCTCAGACCCCCTCCTCAGCGGGGAGAGTGGACCTCCCCTGCCCTAAGCTGCCCTTGGGGGTCAGCCCTTCTGGGGGTCAGCCCTCCTGGGGGTCAGCCCTGCGGTGCCTGGAGCCTCTTCCTATGCGCGGAGCGTTTGTGGTCGGAACCCAGGCTCTGAGTGCAGGAGGAGGGGTGGCACAGCGCTTGCTTTGCTACTGCAGTTTCTCTGACAGGAAGCCTTCCTTTATCTTGTAGGTGAGCGTCCCTATCAATGCCCTTACTGCGAAAAAGGATTCAGTAAAAATGACGGGCTGAAGATGCACATTCGTACTCACACCAGGGTAAGATGATACTCTACCTCATTAGTGTTAATTATAAAAACTGTACCTATTTTAAAAATACTTAGCTGAGAAGATAAAGGTGGTGTGTCCAAAATTATATGTTCATATTTATGATGGAGGTTTGGGGATGACTTTTTTTTTTAAAGACAGCGATGGAAGAAACAAAAATCCAAACTCCCCAAGCATCCCAATTCTTTGAACTGTGAACCACTTTTTAGGAGTAATAGGAGTGATCAATGACAAACTGCCAAGTAAAGCGAATGAAACATTTTAATGATAAAAAAGAGAAGGATACTGTCTGGCAGAGCATTTGCCAGTGTTGCAAATGCCAGCATTTCTTGAACAGAGGTGCGCCTGTCAGCGTGTGACCGCCAATTAATGCATGCTAGCAAGTATATTTGCAAAAAAAGATGTTGAAAATAATGTAAGTTATCGGGAGAGGGGGAAAACAAGGCAGGGCGACTCAGTGCTCCACAGGGCGTGCGCAGTGCTGTCTTTCGTTCTCTTTCTGAGGATGCCCTGTGCCTCTGCTGTCGGCACCTCTCACTGGACTATTGTCACTCTGTTATATGTGGCTTTTTCAGGCTCAAACATCTGCCCTGCATGCTATAAAAAATGTGAGCAGCTCCCCCTCCATCCAGCGACATTTCTTAGCTCACTATTCAGTTTAAGACACAATTAGATACTTTATGTGAACTTTCCACTTGGAAATTGGGTGTTGTTTTAAAATATTTCTTCTTGATTTTGTTCTGTCCATCTTTTCACTGCTCTGCCTTTCACACAATTCCTTCTCAGTTCGGCCTTTTGAAAGTGCTTGTGGTCTGTGTATAAATGCCATATTTTTTCAAATTTTAAGAGACATGCCTAACCCCCTTAAGAGCAATTCTAATTTAGGCTTCTCCTGGATTTCACTTTTTACCTTAGCTGTAAAACAAAACTTTAGAGAAAACACAAAATCATAATATCCTTTCCAGTATAATAATATTCTAGCTTTCCACTTCAGTTCTGTAAGCAATAAAAGGTACCCTCTGAGGTCCTGTTAAAATGCTCGTCTTGTCTTTGTGGAGGAGGAGAGGGGCAGCTTCTGTGCTCATTAGAGCTGATCCACACTGGGTTTCTCATTCTAATTCAAAACATAATATTCATATTATATTGATATTAGGAGCTGGAGTAATTGCTAAATATGAAATGCCTTCAGAGACAGACAAATATTACTACTCATAATATGACTTAAATGTGCATACTCAAAATACTCATTTCACAATGAGCATTATTAAAGAGGTTTAAGTTAGTTTCGGTGTAGTTTAGTTTATTTTGTGTGTGTGCAATTTTCACAGTGGTGCCAATAATGTATTTTAAAGATGTCAACCTATAGGTCCTGGTTCCTCTTATCAAAATTAACAACGTTAACCAAAACCTGGGCACTATGGGTGCACATTCTATTGTCTTACATGATTGTACTACAGAAGAGGATCTTTAAATTGCCACAGGGAAAAAATACCATTTGAGTTTTCTCAAGAATGGGTAATATTTCGAATTCAATTAATTTGTTTTTTTACTTTGTTTTAATATAAACTTTGTTAATGAGAGTAATAATAATAATTAACATAAATACAAAGACCATTCATCACATGCCAGGTACGATGTTCTAGACATGCACAGGTATTCATTCATGTAAGCCTCACAGCAGTTCGCCGGTGCATTTAACAATGCATGTAAGCCCTTACGAGGTAGGTATTATTGTCATCTCTTTTTGAAAAATGAGGAATTGAGGCATAAGCAAGTGAGTAGCAGAGTTGAGATTGGAACGCAAGTAGGCTGGCTTCAGAGACCACCCCCTTACCTCCTGCACACACATTACATGCCTTTTATTCAGTTAAATATTTTCTCATTCCACTGACTCTGATACACTTTCCTGTTTATTTTCAAACTAAACAAACTGCAGTAAGGAACCCAAATTTAATAGTCTTGTGTTCATTTGAATATTTGGGCCTTGAAACTGCCTCAGGGTGTCCAGGTGCAGCTCTCAGGTACTAACTTCACAAAAAGAAAACAAATCCCACCCTTTGACCAAGGGGAACACGGAGAGGGCCTCGACTGGAAGCCCCAGGATTTTAGACAGAATTCAGTACAATTAGTAGAGAGTGCCAGAAGAGGAATAGTTACAAGCCTTTAGGTTTTGCTTCCAACTCTTTAATTTTTCTTTCCCGTGCCTCATTTATAGTTTATCACAGACTTGATTCATTTTGAAATCCTGTTTCCTAAGCATTGGATAGATACAGATATTCTTTGCATATCAGTGTAGCTTTTCTAAAGCTAATTAGCATCATTAGCTAATGCAATCAAGTTGATATCAAGAACCAAAAGAGACTTTTTAAAAAATGTTCCAGGGGAACGATCTGTGCAAGCTCACATTTTCCCACTATTATTTGGATTGTATACAACTCTGTTCAAAAGATACCATTTTGTTTGGACCGTAACCCTTTTCAGTTTCAATCTTGTATTCACATTACATTTAGTATTTAGATAGCTCTAACTCCAGACATTTTTGGGGTCCTATTTCCAAAACGTTTAATTCCATTACAACAACAACGTATCATTCAGAAGGCTCCATCGTTAAGAAGTTTTGGTGAGACATGCCACGTTAGTGCCCCGCGATCTGCATCCTGTGGACCTGCACAGATGCCTTAGGGAAGGAACACGATGTCTTTTACTCTGAGTATTGTTCATGGGATCCAGTAAGGGCCCCAAATGTGGGAGATAATTTTGCTAAAATCCAAACTTTGCTAAAAGGCTAAACAGCCATTGGTCTTTTGTGGAGAGGCCAGGACAGGTAATTTATTCATTTCCTACAATATATTCTGTTTATTTTTGGTTTTCACCACTTGGGACTATAATGCACTAGATATGTTTTTCTTTACTCTTACTATTTATATCTGTGGTTTGTTATTATTAGTTAAATTTTGGAAAAATCTCAGCTTTTCCCCCCAAATATTTTTTTGGTCCCTTTCTTTCTCTTTTTCTAATGAGATGCCACGTACATATGGTAAAATGTTTGACATTGTTCCGTAGCCCTTGGTAGTTCTGTTCTGTTTTTGTTTGTCTCTGTATCTTTGCGTTTTTGGTTTCTAATTTCTATTGGCATGTTTTCAGTTTCACTGATTCTTTTTCTATTGTGCTCAGTCTGCACATTGAAGGATTTTATCTTTGATATGTTTTTTAATAATATTTCCATTTGGCTTTTCAACAATAGTTTACATGTCTCTATTGCAAACGCCCATTTGTTCATGCACATCGTCCACGCACATTGTCCACCTTTTCACTGGGTTCTTTGACAGTATTAATTACAGTTATTTAAATTCTCAGGTAGTTCCACCATCTGGGCCATCTTTCAATCTAGCTGTGTTCTCTACTCTCTCTGATAATGGGTTGGAGAGGGTTTGCTTTTTGTGCGTCACACAAAATTCTGCTTGAATTATTATGACGTGTGAAGGAACAGTAGAGACTGAGGTGAATACTATTTACACCTGAAGTAGGCACACTCTTCTCCTGCCAGGCCCTTCACGGGAGAGGCTGAGCTGGTCTAGTCAGTCGTGATGCTGGCTCTGGGTCTCCTTGTTGCTCTGCTCGCCGTAGCTTTAGTCTCCTTCCATGGTGCTCTGCTGTCTGCATGTGCTTTGTGGGCGGCCTGGAGGGCCAGAGGATCCACAGAAGGCCTTCTCCATCATCAGGCTCTAGCAGACCCTGCGTGCCTTTGCCACAGAAGAGGTCTTCCACCTTCTCTCCTTCATGTGCTTTTTTCTTTACTTGGGTGACGTAGGAAACACCTTTTGGGAGGGAGTAGGATCTTTTTTGAGTGGGGGACACTGGACATGGTGGCGTCAATCAAGACTTAAAGAACAGTGTCAGTGATAATGTTAATTTTCCCAGGACTTTTAGACTTGGAGATGCCCCAGGCACAATGCCAGGGCCCCCATCTCTGTTGTGTTTTGTCTAAAAGGCCTTCTTGGCCACCCTGAACTGTGTCTGAGGTATAAATGCCAGTTGCTTAATTCTTACATGTAAGGTCTCAAGTCCATTTTAGTACATTATACTTATAGATCATCTGGAAACTATGGGCCTTAGGTTTGTGTTGTCTTCGACACATTGAGCCAAAACACTCACTGTCAGTGTAACTGTACATGCTGATAAATTCCCATTTTGTAAACATTAGGTTCAAGAGAAATTGTGTTTTGTAACCAAGTACTGCAGAAAGCTCATGTCTTATTAAATCACTTTTAATTTTCAACATGGAAAACACCTGGACCAATTAGAAAGTTATTTCAGAAACCCGGCCTTTTGAACACTAGTTAAAACACCCAATTAGCCTGCACAGGTCTCAGAGTTCTAAGATCACAGCTGTGTCTCCAGCCTGGTGTGTAGGAACAGCCAGATTAGTTATTAAAAATATTAAAATGGAATTAATTGCCAGTGATTAAAACTATGTCATTCTGTATTTTGTTAATTTTCTTTCATGAAGCCGTCTATCCCTGATCTTCAGGTGGTCAGATTTTTTGGTGGGTTTACAAATGTGTGCACTTTGCACTTTCTTCAGAAACCATGCGGTGAGACGCTGAGTCTCCAAGCCCAGACGGGAGCGGGCGTCTCGGAGTCCACAGGCATCCGGCGCGGCTGGATTGACCTGGGCGCTTTGGGGTGGTATAGCGATGTAGCAGCCTGAAAACTATGCAAAACAATCTGACCAGAGTGTCCAGCTGCTGAATCACATGGGAGCAATGTAAGCTTGATGCTGAAGGCAGAAGAAAAAAGTGAATTTATTATGGGTGAAGAGGTTGTTGGAGGAGTGAGAAGTGGATGCAAAGGGGAAGAGGCAAGAAGGATTCCCACGGCTACAGGAGGCTATAGGATTTCTGTTCACCTTGGTTAGGAACAGTAGGTGGTCTTTTAAGGATGAGAATCAGCTTGGAATCCTCATGAACGCATTATGAGGCATGCATAAA